TGTCCTTTTTCATTATGGGTTTTTTTTTGAGGGGGGGGGGGGGAAAGGTACCTTAGGACCAGGACCAGCCCTGTACTGTACTGTTCAAGGCTGAGCTCCCTTACCTCAATTTCTTCCTGAGGCTGCTAGTCCTAACTTGACCTGTCACATTTTAAGAACCAAAGTGCAAAATATACTTCCCCCTTCAGAGATTTTTCAAATATTAGTGAATTGTGCTTAAGAATTACTGCTTGTTTAATAAATGTTCATTTACTTTATAAAATTCCATATCCTAATTTTCAAAACTGAAGGTTACAGAACAAAAAATATATATTATTCCAATTCTGGGTCAATGGCAAACCATGGTTATTTTTGGCTAAGTTGTAAAATAAATTCAAACTTTGCCTTTTACTAAAGCCTGCTTCACAGTTTTTTGTTTTGTTTTGTTTTGACAGAGATCAAAGATCTTTTAAAAGTCACCTTAATGAATTTCTGGTTCCTAATTCTAAGATTTTCAACAGTCTAGCATATGTTCTGATTTGGGGAAAAAAACATCGAAACCGCCCTTCCTTCTCTCCCAAAATACAGAAAAACTATTCTATAAACAGAAATGTGCTCCTCCCACTATCTCCCTTCTCCCAGGTAAACTCTAAGCTATAGTTAATAATAATGAAAGTATGAATTACTGAGCAAAGGCAGGCCTGAAATAGAATGGGAGGAAGGCGATGCTCTTTTTAAAAACTGTATTAAATTCACCCATAATGCTGCATTAAAATCCTTTCTAACTTTTAAAATACCCAAGGCTTTTAAGTTATATAAATAATTAAGATGAACATGAGAAAAAGAGACTAGTACAGAAAAGTGAAAACTCAACAGACGCAAGATGGAATATGGCTTGGAACAGAAAATAAACAGCACAGGACAATGCAGAAAGAAAAGCAATAAAAATGAGATTTTGTGTTCCCAGACATACGGTAACAGGTGATAACTATTTGTTTTATAGCAAGGTAAGGCACACCCAATAAAACATAATTACGATACATTTCTTCCCCTTTTCCAAATAATGATATTTACTCATTATTCTTGATTAACTTTGCCATAGAATTCTTGGCTATATTTACTGAGGGGTTCCCACAAGGGGGAAAAAAATGCCTTTAAGGCAAGAAAAGGATAATTCTCAAAATACAAAGAATATGCTGTAGAAAGACCAATTCATTTTTAATGTTCAGTCTGTGGGTTTTTGGATCATATTTTGTTAATTATTAGATTTTTAACACAGAAGGTAGACTTCTTTGCCTTTTACAAGGTTCATCACACGTTTTATTTGAAGCTCACATGTCCAAATAAAGTACAATTTAACCCAAAAGTCCAGTGTACTGTTTTGCAATATAATACTTATACAAGGGATTATCATTGTCTATAATAAACTACTTAAAGCTTTTTATGTTCATTGTATATATAGTAAATGTAGGATATAAGCTTCCAGTATAAGCCATGAATATGTAAAGAAATAAAAATTGTTTATTTCGAATCATTTTGGAAGCTTAATGCCTGTCTTTCACTTGAATTATTTCAAAATCATCATTTGAAACATGGACATTATGAGGAGGTCTGACCTTAACAGAGGCACAGGTCTTGGGGATAAGCTGATTCTTGAAAGTTTTCTTTTTGAGACGTTTGGTGAAAAGCACCAAAACAAGAAGCAGAAAAGTGTAATCGCAACGAACTTTTCAGTAAAACCTGACCTGACCTCTTAAAAGTCCTGACCTGACCTCTTAAAAAATCTGCACGGAAAACTTTGATTTGCACCTTACATGAGTAATCAAATCCAACACTTCCCAACATAAGAAATTAGAATAGTATTACCTAACCATTTTCTTCACGATTTTGTTCTATGAAAACAGAGTGTGAGTGGGTAAGTACCATATGGCATTCAGAAAAGGTATTCTCAAATTCCACCTTTGCAGGGTAGTTATATTTGGTCATTAGAAAAGTCATGACTTTTTATGTTTTTCTATGCAAAAATGTGTTAGGACTTTCCCAACGACCCAACAGTTGTGTCTCTTATGGCAGGCACTTAAATTTCACTCCTCATAAAACTTGAAAATTACTCAATAAAAACGAACTTCCAAAAGAGAGAAGAGAAAAAACTCCCGTTTATGGATTTTACAGGCTAAGACCTTAGTCTGACCATCAATGGCGGCTTAGACGTATAAGGTGCAGTAACTTCTACGGCTGGAACAGATTTAAACACTACGTAACACAGAGGTGAATGTGTGTCTGTGGCTGTGCACGCATAACAAACGCAGATGTTTATTCCCTTTGTCTAGGTTTTATTGGCAATCACAGTAAATGTGAGATAAGAGAGAAAATAAATTATTCTCTTAATTTATATTTTCTTAACCATTTTATTAATGTGGCACTCAAACTGGCAATCTAAGAAAGGATAAAATGAGATTCTTTTAAATGGGGGGGTAAATCTAAAAGGAGCAATTAAGAAGCAAAGGTAACTGTCATGATGTAATCTGCATTACATTTTGGAAAGGATGCAAGAAATGCACAAACCACTCAGATGTTAATATAAAGGACAAAAGCAAGAGAAAAACAAAACAAAACAAAAAAATAGTATCTTTTTGCTATGAACTAGTAAGATATTGCTGAGACTTGAGCACCAAAACGGTTCTCTATGAATTCTTTCCCTTTTTTAACTACAAATACTGTACAGTTACATTAAAGCCTTTAAAAACTATGTAATATGCAAGATTTAAAGTCAACCTTCTTAGTGCCAAATTACATCTGCTGCTTTTAAAAACAAGTTTAAAGTAAATTTTTATAAATTATGTAACAATAATCATATACAATCCACATATATAAAAAGGGTTGGTTTATTGTAGTTCAAATACATAAACTGAACATTGAAACATCTTAAAATTAAACTGTAGAAACAAAAGTTTAACATTCAAACAGGAGTATAGTGTACAGGGAATAGCCATAAAGGTAATTTGTTGTCTAATCCAGAAAATTGATAAAGATCACTTCATGGTGAGTAAAATGTTTAACCAGCAGTTTCTATACTGCCCAATGTGTTAGTTATGACTGTGGTTCCATACTTGAGAAGAAATTTCTAAATAAATCTTCTCTCAGGCTAAACAACAACACTTGGTCTATAATTCAGAGGGGATAATCAAAACATAACTGAACAAATAAAGCTAAACTTCTTGAGACAAAGGTAAAAGTATGTTCATTAGAATAATCTTAGCCTCTGGAAGATAATATGAATTCAATTTTCAGTGTTTTCTTTTACCCGCTTTAAAAAATAAAATCAAAACAAAACAAACCCCAACCTAGGTATTTCTTGGAGTCTGTGGTACACTTGCATCTTGCAAGTTCAAGACACAAATGCTCTTACGTCTTGCATGTGTTAACACTGCTAAAAAGAACATCACCAAGTCACTGACTTCCACACCTCTTAAAAGGATGATTTTTAGCTTCAAGATTTTAGATTTACTAGAGACAGCCTATATTTGAGTATGTATGTCAGTCATGCCACACAAAGAAAAGCATAAATATTTCCAAAGTGTTCTGTTCAGAAACTTCACAAATGCTTCTCCTCCTGTTCGTCAGATGGTTTTGCAATAGGTTGACTAATGCACATATACGTAAAAACCTGAAAATTGGCTCATGCAAGCGTTCTGAATGAATAGATACCCCTAAGGAAGAGTATTTCAAATTATTTTGTTGATCGTCTCGTGGGCTCTGAGGCTGTGGGAGGTGGAGGTGGACCCCGGCGATCCAGGTCATCAACATATGCCACAATCAGCTTTCGCCTCTCCTCTGGCACACAGTCCAGTACTAGATACCGTTTGTCATTCTGCATAGTGGGGGGGGGGGGAAAGGTACCTTAGGACCAGGACCAGCCCTGTACTGTACTGTTCAAGGCTGAGCTCCCTTACCTCAATTTCTTCCTGAGGCTGCTAGTCCTAACTTGACCTGTCACATTTTAAGAACCAAAGTGCAAAATATACTTCCCCCTTCAGAGATTTTTCAAATATTAGTGAATTGTGCTTAAGAATTACTGCTTGTTTAATAAATGTTCATTTACTTTATAAAATTCCATATCCTAATTTTCAAAACTGAAGGTTACAGAACAAAAAATATATATTATTCCAATTCTGGGTCAATGGCAAACCATGGTTATTTTTGGCTAAGTTGTAAAATAAATTCAAACTTTGCCTTTTACTAAAGCCTGCTTCACAGTTTTTTGTTTTGTTTTGTTTTGACAGAGATCAAAGATCTTTTAAAAGTCACCTTAATGAATTTCTGGTTCCTAATTCTAAGATTTTCAACAGTCTAGCATATGTTCTGATTTGGGGAAAAAAACATCGAAACCGCCCTTCCTTCTCTCCCAAAATACAGAAAAACTATTCTATAAACAGAAATGTGCTCCTCCCACTATCTCCCTTCTCCCAGGTAAACTCTAAGCTATAGTTAATAATAATGAAAGTATGAATTACTGAGCAAAGGCAGGCCTGAAATAGAATGGGAGGAAGGCGATGCTCTTTTTAAAAACTGTATTAAATTCACCCATAATGCTGCATTAAAATCCTTTCTAACTTTTAAAATACCCAAGGCTTTTAAGTTATATAAATAATTAAGATGAACATGAGAAAAAGAGACTAGTACAGAAAAGTGAAAACTCAACAGACGCAAGATGGAATATGGCTTGGAACAGAAAATAAACAGCACAGGACAATGCAGAAAGAAAAGCAATAAAAATGAGATTTTGTGTTCCCAGACATACGGTAACAGGTGATAACTATTTGTTTTATAGCAAGGTAAGGCACACCCAATAAAACATAATTACGATACATTTCTTCCCCTTTTCCAAATAATGATATTTACTCATTATTCTTGATTAACTTTGCCATAGAATTCTTGGCTATATTTACTGAGGGGTTCCCACAAGGGGGAAAAAAATGCCTTTAAGGCAAGAAAAGGATAATTCTCAAAATACAAAGAATATGCTGTAGAAAGACCAATTCATTTTTAATGTTCAGTCTGTGGGTTTTTGGATCATATTTTGTTAATTATTAGATTTTTAACACAGAAGGTAGACTTCTTTGCCTTTTACAAGGTTCATCACACGTTTTATTTGAAGCTCACATGTCCAAATAAAGTACAATTTAACCCAAAAGTCCAGTGTACTGTTTTGCAATATAATACTTATACAAGGGATTATCATTGTCTATAATAAACTACTTAAAGCTTTTTATGTTCATTGTATATATAGTAAATGTAGGATATAAGCTTCCAGTATAAGCCATGAATATGTAAAGAAATAAAAATTGTTTATTTCGAATCATTTTGGAAGCTTAATGCCTGTCTTTCACTTGAATTATTTCAAAATCATCATTTGAAACATGGACATTATGAGGAGGTCTGACCTTAACAGAGGCACAGGTCTTGGGGATAAGCTGATTCTTGAAAGTTTTCTTTTTGAGACGTTTGGTGAAAAGCACCAAAACAAGAAGCAGAAAAGTGTAATCGCAACGAACTTTTCAGTAAAACCTGACCTGACCTCTTAAAAGTCCTGACCTGACCTCTTAAAAAATCTGCACGGAAAACTTTGATTTGCACCTTACATGAGTAATCAAATCCAACACTTCCCAACATAAGAAATTAGAATAGTATTACCTAACCATTTTCTTCACGATTTTGTTCTATGAAAACAGAGTGTGAGTGGGTAAGTACCATATGGCATTCAGAAAAGGTATTCTCAAATTCCACCTTTGCAGGGTAGTTATATTTGGTCATTAGAAAAGTCATGACTTTTTATGTTTTTCTATGCAAAAATGTGTTAGGACTTTCCCAACGACCCAACAGTTGTGTCTCTTATGGCAGGCACTTAAATTTCACTCCTCATAAAACTTGAAAATTACTCAATAAAAACGAACTTCCAAAAGAGAGAAGAGAAAAAACTCCCGTTTATGGATTTTACAGGCTAAGACCTTAGTCTGACCATCAATGGCGGCTTAGACGTATAAGGTGCAGTAACTTCTACGGCTGGAACAGATTTAAACACTACGTAACACAGAGGTGAATGTGTGTCTGTGGCTGTGCACGCATAACAAACGCAGATGTTTATTCCCTTTGTCTAGGTTTTATTGGCAATCACAGTAAATGTGAGATAAGAGAGAAAATAAATTATTCTCTTAATTTATATTTTCTTAACCATTTTATTAATGTGGCACTCAAACTGGCAATCTAAGAAAGGATAAAATGAGATTCTTTTAAATGGGGGGGTAAATCTAAAAGGAGCAATTAAGAAGCAAAGGTAACTGTCATGATGTAATCTGCATTACATTTTGGAAAGGATGCCAGAAATGCACAAACCACTCAGATGTTAATATAAAGGACAAAAGCAAGAGAAAAACAAAACAAAACAAAAAAATAGTATCTTTTTGCTATGAACTAGTAAGATATTGCTGAGACTTGAGCACCAAAACGGTTCTCTATGAATTCTTTCCCTTTTTTAACTACAAATACTGTACAGTTACATTAAAGCCTTTAAAAACTATGTAATATGCAAGATTTAAAGTCAACCTTCTTAGTGCCAAATTACATCTGCTGCTTTTAAAAACAAGTTTAAAGTAAATTTTTATAAATTATGTAACAATAATCATATACAATCCACATATATAAAAAGGGTTGGTTTATTGTAGTTCAAATACATAAACTGAACATTGAAACATCTTAAAATTAAACTGTAGAAACAAAAGTTTAACATTCAAACAGGAGTATAGTGTACAGGGAATAGCCATAAAGGTAATTTGTTGTCTAATCCAGAAAATTGATAAAGATCACTTCATGGTGAGTAAAATGTTTAACCAGCAGTTTCTATACTGCCCAATGTGTTAGTTATGACTGTGGTTCCATACTTGAGAAGAAATTTCTAAATAAATCTTCTCTCAGGCTAAACAACAACACTTGGTCTATAATTCAGAGGGGATAATCAAAACATAACTGAACAAATAAAGCTAAACTTCTTGAGACAAAGGTAAAAGTATGTTCATTAGAATAATCTTAGCCTCTGGAAGATAATATGAATTCAATTTTCAGTGTTTTCTTTTACCCGCTTTAAAAAATAAAATCAAAACAAAACAAACCCCAACCTAGGTATTTCTTGGAGTCTGTGGTACACTTGCATCTTGCAAGTTCAAGACACAAATGCTCTTACGTCTTGCATGTGTTAACACTGCTAAAAAGAACATCACCAAGTCACTGACTTCCACACCTCTTAAAAGGATGATTTTTAGCTTCAAGATTTTAGATTTACTAGAGACAGCCTATATTTGAGTATGTATGTCAGTCATGCCACACAAAGAAAAGCATAAATATTTCCAAAGTGTTCTGTTCAGAAACTTCACAAATGCTTCTCCTCCTGTTCGTCAGATGGTTTTGCAATAGGTTGACTAATGCACATATACGTAAAAACCTGAAAATTGGCTCATGCAAGCGTTCTGAATGAATAGATACCCCTAAGGAAGAGTATTTCAAATTATTTTGTTGATCGTCTCGTGGGCTCTGAGGCTGTGGGAGGTGGAGGTGGACCCCGGCGATCCAGGTCATCAACATATGCCACAATCAGCTTTCGCCTCTCCTCTGGCACACAGTCCAGTACTAGATACCGTTTGTCATTCTGCAAAATTTTTTCTACATCTTTCAGGTGCTGATCAGATTCTTGGATTAGCTTTTTGGATCTGAAATAAGAAAAAAGTCCAAGAATTACTGACTGCTGTTCATAGGTCTTTCAGAAATGAGCTGGAAATGTCCATCTAATTCCTAATTGTGTTGCCATTTTTTTTTTTTTTTTTTTAAAAAAATTTTTCTTGAGTGGGCCCCTT